TCAGACACACACCATATATAGAAAGAGCCAGAGAAAGAAAGAGATGGTGTATGAAGGTTATTGCTTGAAGGAGAAGAGGCCATGCGTGAGATGGGTCGAGAAATACTTCGATGACTGTCTCTGTAATCTAAACGACGACGTTTCGTTCGCGCTTGGAATTGCCGGTCTTATCTGTTGGACCGTCGCAGAGGTTCCACAGATCATTACTAACTTCCGTACAAAGTCAAGTCATGGTGTCTCTCTTTACTTCCTCCTCGCTTGGGTTGCTGGGTCCGTACACTCATATAATCTCCAAAATTCTTAATTATTACAATTTAACTCTCTCTCTCTCTAACGTGACTTTTATCAATCGGTGCAGTGATATCTTCAATCTCATGGGTTGTCTTCTTGAACCAGCTACTGTGAGTTACACAAAACACATACTATATATAATGATAAATTGATAATAGCTTACACTAATTTTGATTATTTTTTCTCATTTTTTTTGTCTTTTGTGTTTCTTTGTTTTTTTAATGTAGTTGCCGACTCAGTTCTTCACAGCCTTGGTAAGATCGTCGTACTACTCGCCGCATAAAACATTTGTCGCCACAAAGCTCACGTGTCGTTTTTACATTAAATTTAGTGTCTATATTTTAGGATTTGTTTATTTGATTCGACCGCTTAATTTAATACTACTATTTACAAGTTTAACCTCGTAATTGTGTTTTTCTTAATTCTTTTGTTATAGCTTTACACAGTGAGCACTGTGGTATTGGTGATCCAGACATTTTACTACGATTACATCTACAAGCTTTATAGACATGGAGAAACAAAAGTCTGTCAAAAGGTAATAATAATGTTAATTACAAAATTAATCGTTAATTACATCATTAACTCATTGATTATACTACTTTCTATATTGTAATGATTAATGAGGGTACTATGAAATTATGTGAAGGAGGAGGAAGATGAAGAGAAGAGACCATTGAAATCACCGAAGACGATGGGATCTGCCATTTCCATCCCTGGAGAATCTTACAAAGCTTCTCCTCGGAAAGAGTTTTATTACACGTACGGATTAGTAAAAAATAATCAAATTCCTTTAATTTACTGTAATTTGATTAGGAATTGTGGTAAAAGAAAAAGGTTTAATTAAAGTTTGTGACGAAATGAAATCATATAGAATTGATGCATTATTTTACTACATAGTCGTACGTAGATATTTTGTTGTTTTATTTTTCTGCCTACTCTGGTTTACTTTTGTCGTTTACGCAAAGATATAATCTAGATAAAACCTCGAATCTATACTTTAGCTTCGCAATTTCCCTATATTTTTCTTTAAATATTATACCCACTCTCTTTATATTATTGTGTTACAACTTTTAGAAGTTGTTTTTACATATAGTAGTATATTTAAATATATGTTGTTTATTTCATAGAATGTGAGACTTCACTTTGGTAATGAATTTTTCCGATGATTGTTTTGTTCAGGTCGGCGAGATCATTGGCAGGAAGCGGCACACCGCCTTTAAGATCATCGATTTTTCGGGTGGCTAAGAGTGGCCCTTCCGCTATGGCAATATATAGTGGTTCTTCCTCTGACGAAGATGAGACAATGTCGACACAACCTGTTGTAACGGTTAAGACCATTACCCAACCAAGGCCAATCCCAAGACAGGTTTGTGATTTTTTAGTGTAAAAAATCACTTTAGGCCAAAAGTACAAAGATTGACACAATTTGTACTTCTTCACCTCAGGCAGGTTTTGGAACATTTTTGGCTGCCTCGGTTAGCCTTCCGCTTCAGGCCAAGAGCCTAGCGGAAAAGTACGCACATACTTCAAGCAGACGGCTTCTAAATGTGCGCAACGACATATATAGTATTTTGTTGCTTTTTATTACAATGAAATGTGAGAAAATGTATTCAAAACGTTGTTGTCTCGATGCAGGAAAAAAGAGTAGAGCATAGCGCGTTGGGACAACGGTTGGGATGGCTAATGGCCGCCATTTACATGGGTGGTCGTATCCCTCAAATTTGGCTTAACGTAAGCCACTCTTTTACAAATCTTGATTCATCTTTTAAAATTTTCTATTTGCTTAATTATTGTTTTTGATATTGGATACTAATTTGATTTTTTGCTTGGGACAATATCTCTACAACTAGATCAAAAGAGGAACCGTAGAGGTAAAAAACCGAACCTAGACAAGTCAACAAACACAAATTAAGCATAAATGTTATTGTAGTATGTGATCTTAATTAACAATTATGTTTCGATGATTGGCAGGGTTTGAATCCACTTATGTTCATCTTCGCGCTTGTAGCGAATGCGACATACGTTGGCAGTATTCTTGTCCGAACAACTGAATGGGACAACATCAAACCAAATCTCTCTTGGTTGCTTGACGCTATCGTCTGCGTCGTACTCGATCTATTTGTATCCTTTCCAACCAATTGCATAACCCAGAAATGGATTTTTTTTTTTTAATCACATTCTCATTAATTAGGTTTTATTTTGCTACCTTAATTCGAATAATCAAAACAGATCATATTGCAGTATATCTACTACAAGTATTGCAGAACGAAGAGCTTAAAAAGG